GGACGGAGAAGGCTGAGCGGAGGCTGCTGGCCTGCGAGAACCTGGTCGGGGAGCTGGGCAGCAACCTGGCCGCCCTGGGCAGCCTCCTGCAGGACTACGGGCACCTCCAGCAGCGGCTGGACAACGTGGAGAATCTCCTGAAGAACAGTGGATCCTGCGGCTGCCCCCTGGCTCTCGGGGTGAGGTCCCCAAGGTAATGACTTCTGGCCTGGCCCCTGGAAGCACCAGTGCCACTGCCGTGGTTGTGGAGGGGGTTTAGGAAATGCCAGAGTGATCTTGGCAGTGGGCTCGGGTGGCTGAGTGCCTGTGAGTCCTGGACTTGCCGCACGCAAGCCCTGATCTGGCCAGGCATGCTTTGCTCTGTGCCTGCCCTGAGCTCCAGCAAGCAAAGCCAAGTCCTCGCTGCACACACCTGGTTTCCAGTTATCTAACCGCATCAGAAGTCACTGAGCACATAATACTTGTGATTCCAGGTACCGCTCACATTCGATGACATTTCAGTGTACTTCAATGAGCAGGAGTGGGAGAGACTGGACCGTTGGCAGAAGGATCTGTACAGGGCTGTGATGAGGGGGAACTACGAGACGCTGATCTCCCTGGGTAAGGCACAGGGTTTGCGCCTCCGGATGAGCTGCTCTTGCGGGTAAGCTGGACTGCTTCCCACCACAGCCCGAGTGGTGGCCCGGCTCAGTGGGGCTACAGGCCTGTAGCTGACAGAACCTCTGCTGGGCAGTCAGACCCACGTGTTTTCCCTCCCTCCTGCTTGTAAAGCGATAAGCAATGTAAGAAATGTCTGGAGTAAATAATAGTAGTGATAATAATACAAACAATATAAATACTAAAAAATATCCATGTGAGATGCTGCTCCTAGTGACTATAGGTGGATTCCAGGGTCAGGGGACCATCTATCCATGTGAGATGCTGCTCCTAGTGACTATGTAGGTGGATTCCAGGGTCAGGGGACCATTGTGATCTTCCAGCACAGTTCAGGATTTAGCTGGGTGAAGTTCGATAATTGGATCTTGAACTAGTTCTTGTTTTCTGACTATTTACCCCTTTGTAAAGTGACAGCGGCATTTCCTTGTACCTTGGTAAAGAACTGACCTAATCATGCTCAGTCTTTCTAAGGGCACCCAACATGTTCTTGGATGATTTGACTTGTAAGATACTCCCCAGCAAAAGCTGTCTCTTGGGCATGACTAGTAACGTGCTGCTCTGTGCAGCTACTGAGGTTGAGGCTTCACTTTTTTCAATATTTTGTAGAAAGAGAACAACCCCATTCCTCTCATGCTCTGTCTGATGCAGACATCTCTGCAGAGTACGGAGTTTTCTGTCCCTACTCCAGAACAATAGCTCAGAAGAATTGCTCTTCAGATCACTGCTAAAGATGAAATGGGGGGAAAATTTTAAAGACACAGCCTTTCTCTCTGAGATTTTAGTTCACATTCTGCTATTTAGATTCTCTTTGTATTTGAGCTGCAGCTGTGCTTGTGGGTGGATCCTGCCATAGGCCCAGGAAAGCACCACCACCTTTCCGGTTAGAGCACGGATAATGTATTTGTGTCTGTCTGTACTGCCTGCTAGATCTGGGGTTAGGGAGAGCAGGGTCACTTTGAAATGTCTGAGAGTTCGACAGAACTAAGGTGTAGCCTAATAAAGCACGCTGTCCTCTGTTCCTCTGCCCCGTGAGCAGACTATGCTGTGTCCAAGCCTGACATCCTCTCCCGGATCGAGAGGGATGAAGAGCTCTGTGTAAAAGACAGTCAGAAGTCCCCGCTGACAGGCATCCAAGACGGTCAGGAGTCCCCACTGACACCAGAAGAGATGGACCAGGTGGAAGAGGCTTTGGGAGAAGATGAAGTCCCCGTGGAAGCTGACACTGATAAGTTAGGTGGGTGTAAAAGGGTATAAGAAATCTACCAGACGTGAGTTACCCTAGGTTGGCTTTATTGCAGCGCTGGATGCACGGGGGAAACAGCTCCACCCAACGTGCATGCCAGGTGATTACCAACACATAGGTTATATAGAATCAAAACATACATATTCATCATTTTTTCTCAGAAAAGGCAGTCCTATGATAATCATTTCTTGGAATCCATTTCCATATTCTCCTCCCCGTCACGCATGCTCAGTGATTGGAGTCGGTGGTCCTCAAGGGGTCTCTGGTGGTCCTCAGTGGTCACACACCTGTGCTCGCTGGGTGACCCTCTTCTTGCAGGCATGCACAGTCTCCTCGCTGTGGATACACCTCTCCATAACAACTTACTTCATAAGATTAATATTCCCGGGCCTATTGTCCGGTTGGGTAGGGACTGTACATGGAACATAGCAGCATTGTACATTGCCATGGTCAGTTAGCTTCATTACCTGTTGCCTTGGTTACAAACTAATTATTCTAAGCTAATCATTCTATAGTTTCTGTCTCATGGCCTCTATCCCATGATTACATTTCCCCCTTTGGAAGTTTTCCTTCTAGGCCTTGAGTAGCTTTCTGGTTAACATAAATTTTCTTATAGCTATTTTCTACAGTGGGTGCCAGGAGGAGATGGCAGTTCACGTCTCAGCTTTGTCAGGAGATCTCCCAGTAGTGTCTTTGTTAGAAATGTTGACTGCTCTGAGGGTCTGTTGACTGTATCGACTAAACCTCCATGGAGTACCTTGAGTCTTTCTTCCAAGAGGAACGTTTATGCTTGGTCAGGTGATAAAACCAGACAAAGCCTGTCAGGAGGGGCTGGGATTGAGTTGAGTCGTGCGACACACCTCCCGTGATCCCTTCCAGTCCTGTTTCTGTGCAGTTTGGCAATCCTTCATCACTTGATTGCATGCATGAGCCCTAGGGCTTCCAGACACACTCCTGCTTGCCTTGGTGAGAGAGGAGATGTCGTGGGAAGTGAGGAACCTGGGAACCTGCAGTGGGGGGAGGAGGAGGAGGAGGAGGAGGAGGCTGGAGCAGCTCTGCTAGTGCTGGGGGGGGCAGAAGTGGTCAGGAGAGCTTTGGGGCATGGCATGGGAGAGTTGGAAAAATCAATTGTTAAGAGTGCGAAAGCTGGGTAAGAAGGTAGGAGATGCTAGAAAGGGACAGGCAGAACCTGACAGAGCTAGGAGAAGAAGAAATGTGTGGGCAGAGCTGTGATCAAGGGCTCTTCCCTGTAGGACTGAGGGGTTAGGGGTTAAAGAAGCCCCAGGAGAGGCCGGGTGGGCACTGGCGGGGGCAGAGGGCAGGGCAGGCTCTGTCCTTTTGGCATCATTACCCAGAAACGATACAAGCCCCAAGTGTGTGTTTGGGGGTTTGTTTGTCAAGTGCTCCCAGGAGGAGAGGAAAAAGATGTTACACAGACAGAGGCTGTCCCTCTCCTTTGAGATAAAAATTGTTCTGTTACTTAGGTTTCCTCTGTACTTGATCTACAGCTGTGCTCGTGGGCAGACCCTGCCATAGGGTCAGGAGAGCAGCACCACCTTTCTGGTTAGAGCACAGATAATATATTTGTGTCTGTCTGTACTGCCTGCTAGATCTGGGGTTAGGGAGAGCAGGGTCACTTTGAGAGTTCAACAGAATAAAGGTGCAGCCAGTTCCTGATGAAACACGCTGTCCTCTGTTCCTCTGCCCCACGAGCAGACTGTGCTGTGTCCAAGCCTGACGTCCTGTCCCAGATCGAGAGGGATGAAGAGCTCTGCGTCAAAGACAGTCAGGAGCCCCCACTGACACGTATCAGAGACAGTCAAGAGCCCTCGCAGACAAGTGTGCGAGACAGTCAGGAGTCCCCGCTGACACATATGGGAGACAGTCAGGAGTCCCCACAGACGCCAAAAGAGATGAACCAGAAGGAAGAGGCTTTGGGAGAAGACAAAGTCCCCACGGAAGCTGACGCAGGTAAGTTACATGGGTGCCAGGAGGACTCACTTCCCCAGGTGATTCCTGTCCCAGCTCTCTCAGGAGGTCTCCCAGCAGTGTCTGTGGGAGAGGGCATGGCAGGTCACCGTGCTTAAGAGGAGCATTGCCAAGGAAAAGCAGAAGTCTTGGGGTGCGTTGTCAAGGTGCTGCCAGGGAAAATGGAAGGGGGGTCGAGGGCCCAAACACAAGGCAATATGGGAATACTACCTGTAGGATCGGTGGGGAGGGTTTAGGAGGGATGAGGTTGCTCTGCAAAGATGACAGCATGCAGCACCTTGGTGCCTTTTCTCCCAGCCCTCCCTCTGCTTTTTGTCCTTGTGTGTGGCTTCACTCCATTTCCTTCTAACACCTCACATGCTTTCCATACAATCAGAGAGTCATTTAGGTTGGAAAAAAACTTTAGGATCATGGAGTCCAACCATTAACCCAGCACTGCCAAGTCCACCACTAAACCATGTCCCTGATGTGCCACATCTACACGTCTTTTAAATACCTCCAGCGATGGGGACTCCACCACTTCCCTGGGCAGCCTGTTCCAGTGCTTGAACCCTTTTGGTGAATAAATTTTTCCTAATATCCAATCTAAACCTCCCCTGGCGTAACGTGTCGTGATTTCTCGAGCCACAGCTTTCTCTGGCTCTTCTGCACACTCCCAACACATCTCTGGTCAGCATCACGCCAAAACAGGAAGATGTGAGCTCTCCGCAGGTCTTTAAAATTACTCTTCTTTGCAAACAGAACTCCCCATCCTGGTGATGAATGTCATGTCCCTGAGTGCGCAGAAAGAGGAGCTGCGCAGGGAAGATCAGCCTGAGACAGAGATGGAAGAGGACCCGGCTGAGTCCAACAGTGGTGAGTAACCCTGTGCAGGGGAGACACTGGGTCCTGCAGGAAGTAAGCAGCTCCCAGCTCGCTAATGTGCTTGAAATGGGGAGGAGAAGAAAGTTTCAGACCTCTCTTTTACTGCTTGGCAAGGGACAGGGCTGGTGTTGGGCATTTCAGCCCTATTGTCTCCGTGGAAAGAACAACAGTCCAGTTGGGGCTCCTTCTATCAGAAGTTGGGGGAGAGCTGGTCGCAGTAGCATGCTTCCTTCCTCCAGCTCTGCTGCGTTACGGTAGAGCTGGCCTTGAGCTCCGGTGGCCTAATGCTTCCCATGGCATGGCCCTCGTCTCTGAGCCAGAAGCAGAGGGAGCAGGGGGTGTAGGAAGGGGGGGTGGCCATTTGCAGACACTCTCTGTTCTAGTCCGGAAGCTTTGCCAAGCTAACGCGCAGAGCACTTTGCTCTTCCAAGGACTCAGAGCCTGTTTCTGGCACTGGTGCACAGAGTTAAACGGCACTGGTTCTGGGCATGGCTGATGCCAGCTGAAGGGCCTGGCTGCAGGTGGGGCATGGAGAGTTTGCACAACCGTTGGTATTGCACAGCCCTCACAGGAGCCAGTTTGCCTGCAACGTTTGGCATTTGCTGGCAGTCCCAAGCTTGACAGAAGTGAAGGGCCTGGAGCCCCTCGCCACAGGGAGCTGCTCCGGAACCAGCCCGACCTGCAGCGGAGCAGCAGATCTCTGCACACAGGGTTTTCCTCAGGCAGGGAAATTCCAGGGGAGTGCAGAGACCTGCCAGGAGCCGGCAGCTCTTGTGGGAAATGCTGACGCAGCCTGGGCATTGCCAGAGCCATGGAGGCCACCCCACAGCTACACAAGGTGGCCCAGGGATCGTGAGCAACCAGGAGCGCCACAACCAGAGTGAGCAAACAGGGCGTGGTGCATCAGCCAGGGCATGGCACGGCACTTGGTGCGGGAGGGCGAGCAGGGAGGGCGCCTCTTCAAAGGAGGGACGTTCCACTGGCCAAGTGGGAGACTTGAAGTACACATAAGCCAGCAAGCAGGCCCCGTGCTGTGACAGGTCAAGGGCTCCCATCCTGCCTGAGCCTCGAGGCAGGATGGTGGGTGTTCGTCTGAGAGCAAAGGCTGCAGCTCCGGCCGATGCCTCCACCCAGACGGAGCTGCTGGAGGGACAGGCTGCAGTGCAGACCTCAGGCTGTGGGAAAAGCCTGGACCTTTCTCCTGGGGCAGGGACAGGGGCAGACCTGCCTACAGAAGGTGGAGGTGGAGGACCTCTTTCAGTGGTGGCTGAGCTGCAGGAGGTGGTGAGAACGTGGCATAACACCAGGGAGGCTGAGAAGGAGTTAGCTGGTTCCAAGTGCAGTCTGCAGCAGACCCACAGCCAAACAGCCCAAAACTCCCCCACCAGCACACACACAGAAGGGAGGGGGCCAGTAATGCAGAAGAATGGAAGCTTGTGGTGGCAAGGACCAGCAGGAGGAACAGACTGTCAGAGAAGGGCAAGAGCATCTTGGTCATAGGCTTTTCGCACTGGGGGGGAGGGCGCGTTACACAAA